CACCAGGGAAAGCTGGGGAGGGCTAGCCTCCCACTAGTTCGAATTAAGGGGCTACACACCCCTTAATTCGAACTAGTAAGTTCGAACTAGGCTTAGTCCTCATAGAATGAGGGTTACCTAGTTCGAACTAAGCGCTCTGCTAGTTCGATTTAAGTTCGAACTAGTGGAGTGCTAGTGTAGCACCTATCAAAGTTAACTCGAACTAACGTCCGTTAGTTCGAATTAACTTTGTAGTGTAGACATACCCTCTGGGTTCCATATTAAACTGGAATATTTATAGAGATTTCCAAGTAAAAAAAATGCCTGTGTGACTCTAATATCTTTGTTTATTCTATAGCATCTCGAACTAACGTCCGTTAGTTCGAATTAACTTTGTAGTGTAGACATACCCTCTGGGTTCCATATTAAACTGGAATATTTATAGAGATTTCCAAGTAAAAAAAATGCCTGTGTGACTCTAATATCTTTGTTTATTCTATAGCATCTCAGTCCTTTACGTGCTTGTCTCTGTTCTGTTGCCCGAGATCTCTTTTATAAATTTATGGATATAGTTTGCCTATTCTGATATTCCCAGAGTATAAGATCTATCTGTTCTAAACTCTCGCTCATAAATGCAGAATCCGAACACCTGCAGTGTAAAATCAATAGCAATTGTGAAGTCCCTGCTGGATTTTATGGCGTCTCTGATATTTCTCCTTTTTGGAGAATCAAACCTTTATTTGGGTAGGGTGTTCATGTGTATGTGTGGGTAGAAGTTTAGGGGAGCAAGGGAGGTGTCATTCAATGTCCCCTATATTTTTTTCCATCTGTATGTGAAATAAATGTTATGTGCACTGAGGCATGGGCAGATGTGCACCACCAGCAGAAAGTCACACTGCCAGCTGTGGGCGCTCTGCTAATCAGCTGGACGGCATTTGACTCTCTCCTGGGAGGTCGCCCAAGCACTCAGCTTACGGGGAACACTGTTGTTAGTGTTCTGAGTGCCATTTTCATATGATACGGATTTTCATATGGGTTGGGTGAGGCCAAAAATTAGCTGGCAAGTTTACAAAAGGACACTGGTTATTAGTAAAAGCACTCTGCAAGCAAGCTGCCTTTCCCTTAGCGCCTGATCCAAATCCCAGGAGTTGGTGAAGGGCAGCGGTTCCCGGCCTTTTCCAGATGGGGACCCATTTTGACAATTCGGGAAGACTTGGTGACCCAGGGCAATTCAAAAAATGTGTGAATGGCTCCTTAAGAGCCACCTGGGGAGACACCTGGCGACCCTTTTGAAATGTAATGGCGACCCATATTTGGCCTAGGGTTTCGGATGAGCTTTAGATTAGGCTCTTACTGAGAGAAAATAGCAATACTGAGGTCCTGCCTTTCCCACCTTCTCCATGAGTAGCATACAGCAGAATAAAAGCTTCCTCTCTCCTCTGCAGCAGCCCCCCAACCCATGGGGGAAACTGTCATCCCATCTCTGGCTGGGGGGGGTCCTTAGCTGAACCTCTGGAAGGGCTGGCATGGCAGTGGAATACCCTGATGTGTCTGTAGCGATGCACCTGCCATGTAAGGTGTCGTTGGAGGTGCGTTGAATTTGCTGTGGAAGGAATTAGTAGACTCATCACCACCCTTGCAAGACATACGAGGATGGGTTCCCCTGTTTTGTGCCTAGTCACTGGAAACGCCTTCGCTTTCGGCTTGTCATTGAGCTGGATTTGTTATTACTTGCAAGGGAATGTTCCGTCCTGCCTGGTGTCCAGCTTCTGTAGAAAGCCTTGGCCTTTGAAATGTGATGTCATTGCACAATTGTGCAACCGGTATTAGTGAGAAAAATCCATGTGGCTTTGTGTTTTGTTTTGCTTCGCCTGTCGAAAGGGCCGCTGTGATTTCCTGTTTAAACTTAAAGGCAGCACAGTATGTGGAATAGACAGCAAGCTAGTGGCTATTCCTTTGACTCTTTCTGTGGGCTATGACTCGTTACGGGTTTGTATACAAATCCCTTGACTAATTGTGTGTCGGTTAATTGAGCTGTAACTTGGTACAAGGGAAATGTAATTTAAAAAGCACAGGGGCCTCTTTTTATTTGGATCACTAGCAGACTTACCCGGCGTTGTTCAGGCCTCTTCTCCTCCCCCACAGACTACCCCCCTCCAGCCTGCCTGGGACCTGTTCATTCATCTCCTCCCAGTACACCCCGCCTCCCCATCCACACAGGGCCTGTGCTTTCACACGTACCCCAGGCCACCTCCCAACACACCCAAGGGCCTGTTCTCTTCCCCCCCCCACAATTCCAGCAATGCACCTGGGGGGGAAGAGGTGGGCTATTTATTGGTTTGCTGGCAGGCAAGATGGCGGAATCCCAGCCCTGCTAGCCGCTGCCTTGGTGGTGCAGCTTCCCCCAATGGACATGCTGCAGGATAGCTCTCCCCTGCGGGCTCGCTGCCCCTGGTGCCCACTCCCATCCACGTCCCTCCGAACAGCAGCCCCTCCCTGTGCATGTTGTGGGAAACTGTCCCTTTCCTGGGGCTTCCGGATGTCCTGGCACAACCAAACCCTGACCTTGCTTTCAGTCAGGAGAAGATGAAGCTGCATAGCAAATTGGGTAGCCCTAGCTCTTACTGTTTAGGAAGAGTTCTTGAACAGATAGATAGATGGGGGTGAGGATAGATAGATGGATAGAGGGGGTGTGGGGACAGATAGATAGATGGGGGTGAAGATAGATAGATAGAGGGAGAGTGGGGATAGATGGATAGATAGAGGGGGTGAGGATAGATAGATGGATAGAGGGGGTGTGTGGGGATAGATAGATAGATAGATAGATAGATAGATAGATAGATAGATAGATAGATAGATAGATAGATAGATAGATAGATAGATAGATAGATAGATAGATAGATAGATAGATAGATAGATAGATAGATAGATAGATAGATAGATAGATAGATAGATAGATAGATAGATAGATAGATAGATAGATAGATAGATAGATAGATAGATAGATACGGATGGATGGATGGATGGATAGATACCTAGATGTGTATGGATGGATAGATAGTTAGGCAGGTAGATAAAAGTGTGGGGAACTGGGGATAGGTAGGTAGCTAGATAGATGTGCAGGGATGGATGGATGGATAGATAGATGTCTGGGGATGGATAGATAGGTAGGTAGGTAGAGGGATGGATGGATGGAGGGTCAAATTAAAAATCTGGTATAGAGACTTTTTTAAGCCATAGATTACATACCACAGTTAGTTCTGCAATTTCATATTTGAGTTCCTGCAGAACTCTTGGGTGATACCCCATGGTCCTGGGGACTTATTTAGGTTATGTTTAACCACTGGACTATATTTCCTCCCTTGGCAGAGCTAGACCCAGGTTTGTTGGAAGATGACTTAGTGGGTAATTAAGAGCCGGAGAAATGATGATGCAGATTTAGTTTGGAAGGTGCAGGCCTGGCAGGTTTGTGTTTGTATGCTGCTTCAGCAATCCAGAAGGAGAAGCTTTCGTGTAGCGGAGTTGTTTGCAGTTGGTACTGTATGAACACACGCATGTACACACCCCGCTGTAGCCAGCCCCTGAGGCCTGCACATAGAAACAAAACAGAGTCAGTAGTTACCACAAGCTAAACGTTTCCTCTGTGTGTTAGGTTCTCACACAACATCAAAGGCTTGTGGAAATAATGTTACACCAGCTACATGAAACCAGCACTGCAGTTTTTCCATTGCTCATCAAAAGGGATAAGAAGTAAAGGTACTACTGGGAGCTTTGGTCTGGAAGGGACCTCCATTCTCCAGCCAAAAATCATTGTTAAAAAGGGCAAAAGTTGGAAATCCAGTTCAACTTTTTCCTCCTCTGAAAAAAGAACTCTGTAGCATTAAAATCCCCACATGTTGGAAAGACTCAAAATACACAAGGGGTTAAGCCATGCATGGGTCTGGTGTTGGTCCCGGGTGAATTTCATCCCTAAAGAAACTGGAGGGATGGGAGGAAGCTACTCTTTTAATTCACTTTGCTGTAGGGATTTTTTTTATATGGCTTCAGTTTTCTGGTGCAATTCTCTTTTGCAATAATTGCTGAATAATTCCTTCTCTTTGTATGAGGAGAGGTTTTGGTTAACAAAAAGCTCCTGTGAAGGACGGTCTCTGTGAGAAGACCTGTCTGTCTTCCAGGTGGGAGTGCAGCCAAGCAAACGACCTGGGAAGGGGGACATCGCATTCCAGCGCTGGCTTATTGGCCTGGCAGGATCCCTGCAAATGTGACAAGTGCGGCACTGTTGAGGTAGGAGGACAAAACTGTTGCGTTTCGTGGCACCTGGGGACTGTTTGTTTTGTCATTAGTGCACACCAAGATTTGTGGGCTCTGGCAGGGACTAAAATTGCATCAGAGACAATGGAGTGTCTCCTGCTTGTTCCAGAACTGCATGTCGCCCTGGGGCGCAGCTAACTTAGCTGGGGAAGGCATGTGTTGCCAGGCGAGTTAAAAGGTCACTGCGTAGCTCTACAAGTGATCCCTTCAGCTTTGCAAACAAGGGGATTGTCTTAAAGTAACCGGCAGTGACCCTTGTTTGTTATCTCCAGCCTGGGGTAAAACTGTGTGCCGGATAGCCTGCTTCTAAGCCTCCTGCACTTTAATGCTTCAGCAAAGAAGTACTTGAAGGCGTTCTCTGTGTGGATTTATGTTGGCTGTTAAGTAGGGTTGCCAGATACTTTCATAAAAAATACCGAACATAGCAGGAGGGAAAAATTGGTTGAGCAAAAAACGGGACCAAACTTGTTGAGCAAAAAAAAAAAAAAGTCACTGTGCCTTTAAATCCCCCCCCACTACCACTGGACAAGTCAGAGGAAGAATGTCTCCACCAGCCTTCTGTCCGAGAAAAACAGAAAATATCGGACAATTTACATATCTGGTATTTTCTGTTTTTTTTTTACTGGACAGAGGCCATAAATACCGGACTGTCCGGGCGAAAACCAGACACTTGGCAACCCTACTGTTGAGAGCCCTCAGAACCCAGGTGGAGAAATCTCTCATCACTGTAGTGCGAATGAAAAGACCACAGCTTTCTCTTTCCCCCAAGAAGGCGGCTTAGGAACATGAAGGAGGGAAGCTGGGGCAAAGAGTCGGGTGTTACACCAGGAGGCAGGGAGGTGAGACGCTGCTTGAATTTCTTCCAGCAGTGAATTTCTTAAGCATGGTCTGTCTGCTGTGCAAGTTCTTCGCCCATGGTCCCATGCCCCTCCTGGGGCACTGCATGGCAGGGAGTGATGTGGGTGGCCTAGCAGGGGATGCTCTCTTCTCCAGGCCAGTTGCACTTGAGCACACTGGAGAGGGCAGCGGCGGATATAGGGCAGGGCGAGCGAGGCGGCTGCCCCAGACCCCGTGCTTCAATAGGCCCCGTGCATGCACCCCGTGCACGAAACTTCTGGTTGGCTGCTGCCAAGGCGCATGCACAAAATTGTGCCTCCCCGGGCCCCGCGTTGCAGCTCTGAGCCCCGCAAAATTATCATCCGCCCCTGGGAGACGGAGAGGGTCTCTCCAGCACCCAGGAGTCCAGGTGGAGATTTGAGAATAGTGGTGGTCGCTGGATTACTCACGTGTCCTGGGGAGACCTTTGTCAAGAAGCCGGCTGCTGACCCCAGCCACCTCTCTGGCTTACAGGGGAGTTGAACCACAAGACCCCCTGGAACAGTGTGTTTGTTTTCCTTGGGTGAGCTCTGATGCTCTAAGCACAGGACTGGACGCTTGTGAGAGGAGGCCTGGATCTCACATCGTCCTTCTCCCAAGCTCAGAATGTGCTCTCAGGGCATGACATGAGCTAAGAACCGACAGGCCACCGAGGCTAGTTAGGGGCCCCCTCCTCCATTTCCGTGGGCCGCAAGAGCGTCATAACCAGGGTGGTTTTGCTCACAGCGCTGGTGGACCTAGAATTCGCAGGCGGCGCCCATGGAACCGCGGAAGCGCTGGGATTGGGTGCAGAGGGAGCACCCGGCTCTCTCTGTCAATGCTGTGAGCAATCAGCACGCACCTCGCATCACGTGTGTGTCCCTTCAGAAATACCAGTAGGAGAAAAACGATGCAGATGGAAACCAGCAGAGTCTGGCAGCCCTGCACGTGGGCAAAGGTAAACAAAACGTCTCACAGAGAGCCCCGATGCGCTTTACCCACTGGGAAGCGAAGCACAGTCTCTCTGCTTGGTGCTGACAGATGAGCCATTGCTTAGTGGCGCAAAGGGCGGTAGAGGGAGTCCAGGATCCCTGCCCGACATGCCGGGCGGATTGTTCCTGCCGAACCTCAGGCTGGGCTGGCTCAAACCTCCATGCACGTGGAGCCAAGGACTGCGTCTTGTGCGTATCATGCAGCATTGGTGGAATCCAAGTCTTTGTGCTTTTCTCAGGCCTTAGTTGGAGTGTTGTGGCCAGTTCTGGGCACCACATTTCAAGAAAGAGGTGGAGAAATTGGAGAAGGAAGGCTGAAAGAACTGGGCTTGTTTAGTTTGGAAAGGAGAAGACTGAGAGGGGACACGATAGCGGTTTTCAAGTATATAGAAGGGTGGCACGAGGAGGGAGAAAAATTGTTTTCTTGGCCTCTGAGGATAGGACAAGAAGCAATGGGCTTAAACTGCAGCAAGGGAGGTTTAGGTTGGACATTAGGAAAAACTTCCTAACTACCAGGATGGTTAAACACTGGAATAAGTTGCCTAGGGAGGTTGTGGAATCTCCGTCTCTGGAGATATTGAAGAGCAGGTTAGACAGACATCTATCAGGGATGGGTCCTGCCATGAGGGTAGGGGGACTGGATTCAATGACCTCTCAAGGCCCTTTCCAGTTCTCCTGTGCTATGGTTCTTGTGGAGGGCCAGCACCAGTGAGCCCTGCCAGGACAGCCTGGGGCAAAACTTCCACAGAATTAATCCTCCGCTGCAGAGAAGAAAGGGATTGTGATTGTACCCAAAAGCCCTGCTCTAGCTGATCAGAGCAACAGGCAGTCACAGGAAGGTGGAGGAGGGGAGCGGGACGGACTGGACGCTGCAGGGAAGGGTGTAAAACTCCCACCCCAGCAAACAGGCGTGCAGTTACCGAATGCATTGCAGCACTGAGCGGGGAATGGAGAGACTGGGGGCTCCCTGCTGCTTTGACTTCTACCAGCGCCAGCCCTGCAGGTTGGACACTGCGACCTCTTGGAAGCTGCCAGAGTTTCAGGGTGCCCTGTCGAGGCTGGATTGGGGCTGAAGGGTGCTTGCCGGCCCTCAGAAATACCCAGCTCCAGAGTGACGTATTTAAAGATGCCGCTTTCCAATCCCGCACGGTCCCCAGGCAATCCAGCTGTGTGCACTGTCCTGTGAAACCCACTCACAAGGCTGGGGAGTGCAAACCACTGTCCGTGCAGCTCTTCTACTCAGGTCCCTGGGGTCTCTTTGCACCCACAGCTAGGGGTTCTCGGTCACGGGACTGACATGAGCCCAGACCCAGTGCTTGTAGCCTGGCCTGCCTCCAGTTGCCTCCTGTGCACTGCCAGGAAGTCGATCTTGTACAAGGAAACTGAAAGACGACAGACTCTGGGGAGGTTTAAATAACACCAAGTGTGTGACGCAGACCAACAAAAGGCAGGAAATTGCTTGTGAAGGGCTGACAGCCTGGCCGCTTCAAGGAATTCCCCTCAACAGGCCACATCCGGTGGTGATGTAATTCAGCAGCTCCACAAATGGGCCTCAGTGAGTGTCAGTCACACCAGGACTGTTGCAGGAAGAGCAGGAGTATATACGAGGGTGTTCAACAAGGCGGAGCCCTGGGCTACGTCTAGACTGGCATGATTTTCCGGAAATGCTTTTAACGGAAAAGTTTTCCGTTAAAAGCATTTTCGGAACAGAGCGTCTAGATTGGCATGGATGCTTTTCTAGATTGGCAAGGACTTTTGCCTGAACAGGAGCAGCATAGTATTTCCACAAGAACACTTGACAATCTTACATGAGATCGTCAGTGCTTTTGCGGAAATTCAAGCAGCTAGTGTAGACAGCTGGCAAGTTTTTCCAGAAAAGCGGCTGATTTTCCGGAAAAACTGGCCAGTCTAGACACAGCCCTGGGGTTTTGTAGACAGTCTAACAGATTGGGCCCAGGGCGGTGTTATCCTGAGGCTGTGGGGGTTTATACCTGACTTTCATGCCAGTTATGGGAGCACCACCGGGAGCCTTGAGGACTGTAGGTGTAGCAGAGATGACAGCTGTGCCTGCTTCACCGGGACAGATTTTCTCTAGGGGTCTAAGTTCCCCCTAAACCATGTGGCCGTGCAGGTTCCCATGAAACCCCACGCAGGGGCTGAGGGCTGCAGAGATCTCTTCCTGAGCCTTGAAGCTGCTGGAGCCAGCGTGAAGAACCCCTCCCTGCCAGCCCCAGCCGGGAGCTGCCCAGGTAAAGCCCAACCCCCTTCCTCAGCTCTGAGCACCCTCCTGCACCCCAAAGCTCATATCCCCAGCTCAGAGCCTGTACCTCCTCCTGCACACCAACCTCTTTCACTGAACCCCTCCCCAAACCTGGAGCCCTTCTCTGGCACGCCAAACCCCTCATCCCCACCCCAGCGCCTGCACCCCCAGCCAGAGCCCTTGCACCCCAACTCTCTGCCCCAGCCCCGAGCCCCCTCCCACACTCAGCATTCCTGGGCCTCACTCCCGTCACAGGGATTTTGCTGTGTGCACCAATATCACCAAAGTCACCTCCCCTTTGATGCACATAGGAACATTCATCCCCGGAAGTGCTGGGAGGGAGGAGGAGCTAAGTGCAGGGTCCCCAGTATGCGAGAGACAAGAGCGAATGGGGGTGTGTGCAGGCTGCAGGTAGAACCCCCTGGGCCGCACGTTGCCCACCACTGGTCTAGGTGCTTCTGGGGTTCTCATCCCTGCGGCCACCGAGCACCTGGCAATCACTCCTGGACGTTATCCCTGTGAGGAAGGGCAGGGCTGTTCTTCCCATTGTACTGAGGGGAAACTGAGGCCCAGAGAGACTAAGTGACATGCCCAGAGTCACACAGGAAGCTTGTGACTGAGCCAGGAATGTGAATCGTTGTCTCCTGAGTCTCAGCCCAGGCAGCTGGAAAGCCCCCGGCAGGTGCAAAGCTGTTGGGTCTCGAACTTTTACTCTCCCCTCCTGGCAGCAGAGGGGCCTGTGAGGGACTGTGGCAGCCTGGCTGGGAATTGCCAGCCCTTGCAGCCACTCTGACCTGAGTTGCTGGCTGAAGCAGGCACTGCTGTGGTCTCTGCCGCATTCAGTCCTCAGGGCTCCCAGCGCTGCA